AGAAAATAAGTGACAGGGCTAGAGTGATAGCACAGCAGGGAGGGCGTTTGCCTTGCACACAGCCGACCTGGGTTCAACTCCCAGCATCCCATATGGTCCCCTGAGCACTGCCAGGAGTAATTCCTGAGTGCAGAGCCAGGAGTAACCCCTGTGCATCACCGGGTGTGACCCAAAAAGCGGAAAAAAAAAAGAAAAGAAGTGACATTTAGAAACGGGGGGAACACAGAAAGAAAATTATCAAAATGATACAGCATTTGCTAGATCATTGCGTCTTTCAAGAAAAACTTATTATGTACTAGACATTAAATGCAGGAGTTACAATGGAAACAAAATGAACCAAAAAGTGTCTGCCTCATGAAACTCGAATTCTCCTGGAAAAGAAATAAAATATGTAGTATTAAAAAAAAAGTGACTAGAACTTTCAGATGGTTTGATAGAATTCTCTTTAATAGCTGTGGACTCAATTTGCTTTAGCAAATTTTTTACTCTCAACTCCATATGTATAAATATTTCTTTAATAAACCATTTGTCTATAAGCCAAAAAGGTCCAAAAACAATTTTTATCTAATGTCATCTGTTTCTAAATACTTAAAAAAATTAAACCTAAACAGCTTAAAATTTAGTAAACACAAATGTGAAATCATACCAAAAATACTCACAACTGACAGCTACTTCACTTTATTTTTAAAGTTTTCAGCACACATACTTTTAATAACTATACTAAAATTAAATCCTTTTATACGCCTGAGTTAAAGTCAAGAGAAACAAGTCATTTTCAACAGACTTCATGACCTTTCAAGTGATAAAAACAATATCCTGAGTGGAAAACTTATGTATAAGCTAATGCCTAGGTCGATCTTAAAAGTAATTTAATTGAAGGCAAGTTACTAACCAAGACCACCTGTGTCAAATACGCAGATGAATTACAAAGCAAGAAACCCAAGGCAGTTCTACTTTATCAATGCCAACTCTCAAACACGGATCAAAGAAGAAATAAATATTCAATATTAAAGCTACAAGTAAGAATCTGAGTTATATTATTACATGAAAGGCCAAAGGCAATTTTTTAAATTATCCTTTTTTATTTAATAAAATTCTGCTAGCATGACTTAACGGGTTGCACAAAATAACCCATGCACCGAGGCAGTGCAGTGGAGGGAAATGGCCAGCTCTTTGCTGAGCTGCCTTATGGCTCATTATAGGTCTTCTCTAGAAACCTGTCCACCTCACTAGTGAAACTCTGAATTCTTATGTAACATCTAGCAAATCAGTATTACTCAATTATATCAAAAAAAAAAACAGTGAAAAAAGAACTTTCCATTATTTGCTCACATTTCCCAAAAGTAATTAAAGGAGAACTGTAAAATTACTCTAAGCCAAAAAGTACATTCTGAAATGTTAGCATTTCTACCTTTGTGCTGCAAGACTGAATTTGATTAATGTTTCTGCAAAAGCTTGTAATTCTCCTTATGAAAAGCCTGGAAGCTGGCTCTATGGAGGGAACTCAATGAACAAGGGTGAAACACTGTTTCATCATTTTGAAGTCTACATTTTTCAGTTTCTATCACAGAGACAGGTCAAAAAACCAGTCTCAAATAACTGCTTTTAAATTTCAGGAGCTTATATTGTAAGCAAAAGTAAACAATCATTGCATATTATCAAGGAGCATCATATTCAACACATAAGATTATTCTAGTAAAAATATAAAAGCTGTTTGGTGGATTGAAAATTAGTTCATAAATTAATCCTGCTGTGCACTCTGATACACATAAATCGAGAGTGACCCAGCTATTGTGTCCAAGTTCAATCTCTTCTGGGAAAATAATCATCAACCATGTGTGGCAACTTAACACATGAATGAAAGTCAAAGAAGCAATGACAAAGAAAACATTTACCAAAACATAACTTCGGTTTGTGCTCATAAAAGTTGGAGTCAATGACACCTACATAGGGTAATAATAGACTTTACTATATTTTCTAAAATGATAAAAATCAAAGCCTACATGGGGTCTACCTTATTGCACAAGAGAATAGTGTCCACAGAGTGCTCTCTGTACTTTCCTTGCAGTCATATCATCAATTTAATAATGACAGTAACAGTACCAATACTATTATTGCCTTTAGATCCTTCCAAAGTCTTCACAAAACTTTCCTTAATTATGCCATTAGTAGATAGTACATATGTTAGGACGTAAATAAAGGGGAAGAAAAGCCAAAAAACTATGTATATAATAAGCCAGATGAATAACCAAACCAAAATGAATTTTTAAATTGAATATGAAAGAAGAAAAACATAATTCTGGTGTGGTTCAGATACTGATGTCAAATAATAGCTAATTTAAGAAAAGTTTTAATAAAAATTAATTATTAAGGAACTTCTATTTGTCATTTAATCACTTTTAATATAAATAGCCATTTATAAAGCATTTATTATGTGCAAGATCAAAAGCTCAGAATGCACTCTTTAATACTCAGACCACTTCTCTGTACAGAAAGGATGCTGAAATCTTTTCATCTTGGTTGACCCTCTAGTGAAACAGGAATTTTGATAAAATTGACTTCTTAGTGATGACAAAAGTGAATCTTCTCCATATCTTTTGTCTTAAAAAAAAGTACTATGAACCTGAGAGTCATCTGTCACCAAAGCAATATAGTACTTAACTATAAATTCTAAAACTTTAGAGCACTTAGCCAACTGCTCAAAATCTTTTTATGTCCTGTTGGTATTTTTATCCACAAGTGCAATTAGAAGGTAAATTTTTGGAGAATTTCTTTCTCATCTCTACTTCTTGAATCTGAAAATTACTGAGAAGCTCCTAAAAATATTTTTTAGACTATGTGCATGAGAAACCACCATATATTGTATTGTAAATCACAGAAGCTAGATAAATAAATTTTAAAAAAAAACACCTTTCAGAACTAGAGAAATAGACCAGGCACACCACATGGTCTCCCAGCATTGAAGTGCTGATCAAGAATAGCCTCAGAAGCTCAGATAGAGAAGAGAGCACCAAATAAAGGGTGTTAGGAGAATCCTCCCAGGATGGGAGAAGCATGCTGAAAGTAGACTATAGACCAAACATGGGCGCTGGTGGAGGGATGGGTACTTGACCATTGTATAACTGAAACCCAAGCACAAAAAATTTTAAGTCTATAACTGTACCTCATGGTGTTTCACTAATAAAAAAAAATTAAAAAAAAAAAAGAATGGCCTCATTGAACCGGTCGGGATGGGAGATGTGTGCAGAAAGTAGATAAAGGACCAAACATGATAACCTCTCAGTGACTGTATTGCAAACCATAATGTCCAAAAGTAGAGAGAGAGTATGGGGAATATTGTCTGCCATGGAGGCAGGGGGAGGGTGGGGAAAGGGGGGTATACCGGGGATATTGGTGGTGGGGAATGTGCACTGGTGGAGGGATGGGTGTTTGATCATTGTGTGATTGTAACCCAAACATGAAAGCTTGTAACTATCTCATGATGATTCAATAAAACTTAAAAAAAAAAAAAAAGAATGGCCTCAGAATGGCAGATGTAGGGGGAAAAAAATTATTCCCTCTCTAAAGTTTTACAGTTAATTCCATGTAATATATATAAATCAATATTCAAGTTCTTAAAGTTGAAAATAAGTCTTAAGATTTCAAACACTTAAAAATTATGTGCACCAGTACATGTACAAACAACTTTTTAAACTTTTAATACATTGATACAAAAAATGGCTACTTTGAGACAATGTAAATTTTCCACTAAATAAGTCAGTAAGACACTTGACAAAAATACCTGACTATTTTGGACTCAGTGTTCAACTTACAGAAAAACATACAAAGGGCTTTTTAAAACATCAATAATCACTGCCAAATAACAATTTTCATATACTGTGATCCAATATAGCATATCCAATCAAAATTAAAAAAATATACTCACTGTATGAGATTTGAACATGTCCCAGAAATACATAATTATGAGACACAGGTAATATATATTAGCACTCAAATTTCAAGAGGTATAATTCAGCTTATTGGCTAGAAGAGAAATTATTTTTCAAACTATTTCTTGCCCTAGTTGAAGAAGGACCAAAGGTGCATATAATGATTTGAAACATAGCCAGGAAATACTGTATATAATCCTTATACGATAGGTATACTTGCCCAACCATGACAGAATGAACTCATACACCAAAACTTTTGAACCCCAAGTCAATGAAATCAGACAGAACCCTTGCTCCTCTACTATATCTGCAAAATCTCACTATGAGACATCACCACAGTTAAGTTGGATCACCTACAAATCTTCTGAGGATATAATTCTTCAAAGGTATCTGACTAGAAGTAATTTCTCCTTTACCACCTGTTTCAGATTATAACAGATAACATATTTATACCGATACAATATATATATATCTCACATATTTAAACTAATCCTCAATTTCCAAAGCCAAATGTTTATACGTAGAAATAATAGTAAAGTACTGACATAAAATAAATGTGACTTTAGAAATCTATACAATGAAAATAACTGTTACTCTAGGTTTTACATCAAAGTTCAGGAAAGCAGAAAAATATAGTAATCCAACTTCAACTAAACAAAATCACATTTTTCATTAATTCTACTAATTGAGATTAACATCAAAATAAAATATTAAATACTTAGCAAAACTAAGAACAGAATATGCATGAAAACCATTAAAATTGTGTGAGCATCCTATATTTAAAATTTACATTCAGCTACTTGTATAAAATCTATGCCAGCTATTAAAATATATGAATCAGACACAAAAGTGCAAACCCAATCTCAAATATTTAATCAGATTTAGAAACACTATTATCTATTTCATTTATCCTCAAAAGAATTACTATGAAGTCCATCTGTTACAGAAATTGGTAAGATTGGTAAAATGGTGATTCACATTCCCAATTATGCACTGGAAAACTTTTTTATGAACTCAAAGTTTTCAAAAGTGAGCATGCAACAGAATTTAAAGCCTTGAGGCTGAATTTACCGTCTTGTGGCCGTTCTGGCAGGCCACGTGCAGCGCTGTCTGCCCCATGGCGTCCTCCACATCAACGTCGCTGACGTGCTGCACAAGGTCATGGAGAAGTTCTGTTCGCCCATTCACAGCCAGCCAGTGTATCTGTGCAGCCATTTAGTTACTAAACATTTGTGCAAAAGTGTTTCATATAAAAACAGCAAGTAAATAATGCTATTATTTCTCAACTGTGAGCATAATACAGAAACTCAAGATTACATTTAAAATTCAATCCCGCAATTCTTTTTCTTCTACATGGGGGGAAAAAAAACATGCATCAAGATGTAGTACACACCATGTACTTCAAAAAACCAAGCCCTTCATTGTACAAAGAAGTATCACAGATAGGATTCTTCAACTAAACTTTTTCAAGTCATGACCCTTTGCTAGGGGACAACTTGGGCTACACCTGGCTATGCTCAGGGATCACTCCTGGAGAGGTTTGCGAACCAAATGTGCGGCAGGGAGTCAAACATAGTTTGGCCATGTGCAAGACAAGCACCCTATCCACTGTACTATCCCTCTAACTCTCCACGAGCCTTTTCTGTCAGACAAATGCAACAATAACACCTCAAATTAATTTTGCAGCTAATATTAAATCAATTTTTTAACTGCTGTGCATTCAGATACCTTTTATTGTTGCCAAATATTTTGCAACTGCACATTCCTTATACAACTCTAAATGGGGTGATGACCCACAGTTTAAGATGGTCCAAGAGGCTAGAGAGGTACTACAGCAAGTCAAGTGCTTGCTTGCACACAACTGACACAGATTCAATGCCTCGGACTGCATATGGTCCCACAAGAACCACCAGAAGTGATCCCTGAACCAGAACCAGGAGTAAGCCCTGAATATTGCAAGGTGTGACCCTTACAAAAATTTAGTATGTGGAAATATGTTTTTGTTTGTTTGTTTGTTTGTTTGTTTGTTAAAGCAGGGGATTAAACCAAACATCTCATATATTCAAGACAAGCACTCTACTGCAAAGTCATACTCCAGTTTTAAAATGTGTCTTAAAATGTATTTCAAACAGATGCATCTACTTCTATTTTTCCACTAAAATGATGAGGAAGAGCATTTTTACTTAAAGAAATGACCATCCTGTTATTCATCGATTGCCTCGAGCAGGCCCCAGTAACGTCTCCTTCATCCAAGCCCTGATATTATATTCAAGGCTCTTTAGGAGAATGAGACCCATCATTGTTACTGGTATTTGGCATATTGGGTACGCCACGGGGAGTTTGCCAGACTCTTAAAGAAAAGGCCCACTATTAAAAAAAATATATAGATAGATAATACAGTAGCAACAAATTCTGGAAGCTCTTTTATTTCACTTTCTTTAAAAAAATAAGTAAGAAATCAAGAAAACCAAGAAGGAAGGTGATTCTGATTTCAAAATTCCCAGGATGGACAGATCAGCTGTGTGTCTATTTCACAAAATCCAGACCCATAGACCTTGACTGCTCCCCAATTCTGCAAGGCCAGTAACTTACCTTCCCCAATCTGAGAGAACACAAGAGGCTTGAAAACAAGGTAAGTACACTGAAGCAAGAACACCACATTGAAAATGGAAGACAAATTACAAGCATACACTGATTATTGAAATCCCAAAGCATTCTCCTCTAAGTAGCGTTAAGAATGCTGACAATCTCCTGGCTGCCTGAAAGAATTTACCTAAGCCAAGAGTAAATGGCTTAAAGAAATAACAAGGAAGGTTCCTCAAGGCAAAGATCTAAGCAGATCTCCCTATATTGAAACCCACAGTGAACAAACTTCACTCAGAGACTTCAAACAGGTTATTTTTACAGTTCCACCAAACATATGACAAGTGCATCTAACTTAAAAAGTCAAAATGCAAATCCAGGAAGATAGGTCAAAGGACTAGACCACATGCTTTGTATGCAGGAGCCCTGGATTTGAACCCCTACATTCCATGGTCCCCAGAGCAATACCAGGATCTACTCCTAAAAATGAGCCAAGAAAAGACACCATACAATTGTGTGTATGATAGGAGGCAGATTGCCGGGGGCGGGGGGGTGGGAGACACTATTCCTAAGGTCTTTGGGGGAGGAGGTACACTGATGATGGCTATGATGCTGGAATTCTGTGCATAAGAAAGCATGCTTAATAACGTTGTAAAGCTGTCATTGTCAATGTCCTCCCGTTGTTCATCAATTTGCTCGAGTGGGCCCAGTAACATCTCCATTGTGACAATTGTTACTGTATTTGGCATATTGAATACGTCACGGGTAGCTTGCCAGGCTTTGCCATGCAGGCGAGATACTCAGTAGGTTCCCGGACTTTCCGAGAGAGGCAGAGGAATCCAACTCAGGTCGGCCGGGTCGGCCATGTCAGCCGTGTCGGCCGTGTGCAAGGCAAATGCACTACCCGCTGTGCTATCACTCCAGCCTGACGTTGTGAAGCACAGAATCTCAATTAAAAATAAAGTGACTCTCTTTAAAATGATACCACAAATAGTCATTTTTTTTAAAAAATCTTCAAGAGGACGAGGTATGGCTCAATGGCCAGTGTCTGCCTTGTAAGTCACCTGAGTCACCTGCCTCCCGTCAAGCAAGGCCAGTAACATCTCAATTAAGAGACTTTTTGTTACTGTGTTTGGCATATTGAATATGTCACAGGTAGCTTGCCAGGCTTTGCTGTGCAGGCAAGATACTCTCAGTAGCTTGCCAGGCTCTCCGAGAGGGGTGAAAGAATCAAACCCAGGCCATTCGGGTCAGCTGCGTGCAAGGCAAATGCCCTACCGCTGTGCTATCGCCCCAGCCTTTTAAGTATGAAGCAACAATTCCATATTCCCAGTGACACCCATATGCATCCAGAGTTCTGCAGTTTTCAACCATGAGCACCATAACAGAGTCTATTCAGGCACTATGACCTGAAATGTGATTCCCAGCAAGCAGTTCAACTAAAAACTATGCAAGCGTCAATGTCAGGTACACAACTCGCAGGAAGCACATGTGTGAGTACAACAAAAAAGCGGGACAGCCCTCATCCAGTGAGCACGTGCAAGCATCATAGCTACAGCTAGGCAACCCACAGAGAACACCTCAACCATGTGCTCCACACAGCCAAGCACAGGTGAGACCCACAGTCATGACCACAATAGCAAAAAAGAGAAGCAAACAGGGTTGGTTGTTTGATTGGTTGGTTTAGCTTCAAAAGAAAACACTGTGGGTGTAGAAGAGAGAGTGCTGCAGGTGAGACACTTGCCTTGCACGTGGACAACTCAGGTTGTTCCCCATTCCCCAGCATATAGTCCATCAGAACACCATCAGGAGTAATTTCAGATTGCAGAGCCAGGAGTAACCCCTGATCACTGCCAGGTGTACACTCCACTCCAAGAAGGAAGGAAGGGAGGGAAGAAGAAGGGAGGGAAGGAGGGAGAGAGGGAGGGAGGGAGGGAGGGACACTCTCAGAAAGGGAACATACAAACTGCATTCTTGAAACAATAACTGCATACTCAGTTTTGAAAAGGGTAGAAGGGGAAAAAAAGAAACTTCTAGGAAATAAATACTGACAGAAATGTGCAAACTCGGAAGAAGATTAGAAGATAATATCAAGGAAATCTACCAGAAAGCACACAAAAAAAACCAAGACCCGAAGCTAAATTTTTGAGTCCCTGTTATATAACAAGAAAAGGCAAAAGTAATCTTCTGAATGACAATAGAGACATTCTTAATAACATATACACTATTGACTTCAAAATTGTACACCTTATATATAAGATAATTATAGTGCAATGTCACTTCAAGGGAAAAAGAGACATCCCAACTTGCAATGCAAACAATGAATTCATTTTAGAAAGGTCTCCACAAGAGACTGCTTCAAAAACTAATTAAATGAAAGGTACTAAAGCTATATTTTGAGGATATTTGCAAAGTTCAAGGAAAATTTGGTAATTAAACACTCAGAAAAACATTTTAAGTAGCAGTGAGGCAAGAGGGAAAAAAGATGGAAAACATACTGGAAGAGATAAAAGTACTTTGTGGGTCAGAGAGATAGTACAGTAGTTGTAAGGCATTTGCCTTGCAGAAGGTCAACCCTGGTTATGTGGGAATTCGTCCCCCTAACCAAAAAAAACCCAAAGATGTGATATGCCCCCGGGTAAAATAATTTAGAATGCAAAATGTTTGCAAAAGTGTACCCCGGGCAGAATAAAATAGCAGTAAAGAATAGAATATAGGCAATATAGAATATAGGCAAGTACAGAGTAAGACTTTTAGGGCCTTTTAGATGTGGATGGCATGGGGGGAAAAAATACAATAGGAACCTGTCAGGACTTTCTATTTTAAGCATGCCTTCTGATAGTTAGGTACAATACCCCAGCCTCTGATCTCCATTACTGAATGTTGATATGCTTACTCACTGTCTTTAATATATCTGTCACCTGTTGGGAGCCAAGGGGAGTGGTGGAGAAGCAATACTAAACTGAATAAATGTTCTGCCTATGAGACCACTGACGGCTACTCAGGTGACCTAAAGTATGGACAATTAATGTGTTTGTGTGTATGTGTGTAAAGCTTGGATAGTCTGTATATGTTCTTATGTGTTTTGTCTATCTCATTCTCTGAGATCAATCTCTATTGGACAGAGGTCCAGGGTACCAATCTGACTGGCTTTAGACAGGGTATGATCCCTGGCACCCCATATGGTCCCCCCGAAAGTACTGCAAAGGAGTGAGTGAGTCCTGAGAGTGGAGTCAGGAACAATCCTGAGCACAGCCAAATGTGGCACCAAAAAAAAAATAGTATTTTGATATGCAGATGATTTTCTATATAAAAAAATCCCAAAGACACTACAGAATAAAATAAAATAAATGAGTTCAACAAAGTAACAAAAGGCATGAACAACACATAAAAAGCAATCACATTTCTACATACCATCAGTGAAAAGACAGAAACTTAAATTTACAGTATACCATCAAAATATATCATAAAATATACCATACAGGCCAAAGAAATAATACAGGGGGTTAAGGCACTTGCCTTGCATGCATCTAATCGCCAGCACCTCATGGGCCCCCAAGAATCACAAGTGTCTGGAGTATCCCTAAGCACAGAGCTGGGAGTAGCCTCTAAGTACCCCCAGGTGTGTCCCAAACACACACACCCAAAATTAAATTTAAAGAATATATATATCATTTATAACAACCAAACATACACAAAGTCTAAAAACTTAACAAAATGCTCAGGAAAGAAATGCTTAAATAATTGGAGAGTTTGTTTATAATTTGGAAGACTCAATCAACAGCAAAAGACAGCAATTTTTTGCAAATTAATTTATCAGTTTAATGAAATTGCCTGGAAGTAGGGTTGGAAAGAGCTCAACATGCTAAACACATGCAGGAAGCTGGGGTTCACATCTCTGGCACTGCCTGGTTCCGAGCACCAAGCTGGGAGAAATCTTGGACCCTACCAGATGTGACCCAAAAGCAATTAAACAAAAACAAAAGAAGAAAATATGCAAGTAAAGGTTATAATACACAAACTTATCCTAAAATTTACATCGAAAGGCAAAGAAACCAGAACACTAACAAAATCTTGACAAAGAAAAATAAATATGAACAATTATTCAACCTGAAATTAACGTGTTCTGTATAGCTACAGCAATCAAGACAATGCAGTACTGCAAGGGTCAGCCACATGGATCAGTGGCACAGTACTGCAGATTCAGAAATAAATTCATACAAGCATGTCCAACTGACTTTTGAAAGAAATACAAAAACAATTTCATTCAGGGAGCAAGTTTTTTTTTTTGTTTTAGTTTTTGTTTTTGTTTTTGACAAACAGCGGTAGCCTAGACTGGGGGGGGGGGGAGGGGGGAGGGATGAAATTTGACTTTGGTGTCACATTTCACATGAGCATAAATTCAAATTAGATCAACAGACTTAAATGCAAAGTTATAAAACTTCTGAAAGAAAAGAGATAATCTTCTTCAGGGTTTAGGACTAGGCAGAGTTCTAAATTTGACAACAAAAGCAAGATCCATAAAAGGAGAAACTATTACAACAAACTTTATCAAATTTTAAACATTTGTATTATAAAAAGCTATGCTACGAGTTTAAAAAGGCAAACCAAAGATTGGGAGAAAATATTTACAGGTCAGATCCCTAGCAAAATACAAGTACCTTCAACAATGAGTACTAAAAACTGCAATTCTTCAGTTTTTTAAAATCCAATTAGAAAAATGGGTGAAAGAACTGACAGTTCATATCCACTGTCCACTGTCCTCGCGTTGTTCATCGATTTTCTTGAGCGGGCACCAGTAATGTCTCCATTGTGAGACTTGTTATTACTGTTTTTGGCATATCGAATATGTCACCAGTAGCTTGCCAGGCTTTGCCGTGCGTGAAGGATACCAAAATGGTAGCTTGCCAGGTTCTCCGAGAGGTTCAAAGGAATCAAACCCAGGTCAGCCACATGCAAGGCCCTGCCCACTATGCTATCGCTCCAGCTCGACATTTCATATAAGACAATAAATAGCAGGAAAACACACAACATCAGCAAGTAGGCAAATACAGGCTATACAATGAATTAACTCTATTATAATCATAATGGATAAAATTAACAACAATGATGGGTAGACAGCATAAGGGTTAGGGTACATGTAATGTCGATCCCCAATATCCCATGATCCTCCAAGCACTGGAGGCCCTAAAGCACCACCAGTGATGACCCCAGTGGCCCAGGGTCCAAAAAGCACCACATCCTTGCACCCCTGCATTAAGTCATCAGCCCCAGTTGTCTAGTATCACTGGGAGTGGTGACTCCAAGCACCATTTGGGATGCTTCCCCTCAAAAAAAAAAAATTTTTTTTTAAATAATGGCAAATTCTGGTGATAGCAAAACCCATAAACATTCACATATTGCTAACAGGGTATAAAATGATAGTTACTCTGGAAAAGTTAGCAGTGCTCTGTATTTGGAGAGAGTAGAAGGGGTTAAGAGGTGCCTGGGGCCACTCCCAGTAGTAACTCATCCCAGCTCAGGTCAAGCAATATAGTGCTACTTGGGTCCAGAAATGCTGGAGGCCACCAGAGCACTAGGGCTGTGCTGGGAGCTAAGAGGGTGGGGAGGGTGGGGTAGGAAGGTGAGGGCAGGCATGAAATTCTTGGGACTGACCAACAGGCCTCATGAATTTCTCAGGCATGGAGGCACACACACCAGTGTTCTAAGTGTCCTCCTGATCTATGCAGGTAGGGTACTTTTTTCTTTCCTTTACCACTTTTATTGAGATACTAGGATTTACAACACTGCTAATTATACTTTTCATACACAAATCATACCTACACTCTGCCCCACTTCCGTCCACCAATGTCCCAAGGACCCCTACCCCAAGTTCCACCATGTATGCTCAGTTTTATAGACAAAATCTTCAGTTTTGATGACATTGATAACTTTAACCGTGACCACCGCCCTCCCAAAAACAGAGAGAGAGAAAAGGGAGAGGGCTGGAGAGATCACAAGTTCAGCAAGATGAGGCCCCTGAATGCAGAAGGATCCCTTCCCTGAAACCACATAGTTCCTGGAGTACAGACAGGAATGAACCCCGAGCACTGAGCCAGAAGTATATATAAATATAAATATATACATATATATACTTCTTTCAATATATGATTGATCTCAATATAGAAAGCTAGATAGATCTCAAATCATTTGCACCTTGGGGGCTGGAGAGATAATACAGCCACAGGGAAGGTGCTTGCCTAGCACACAGCCAACCAGGTTAATCCCTGACACCTCATATGGTCCCCAGAACCCTTACAGGAGTGATTCCAAAGCACTGAGCCAGGAGTAATCTCTGATCACCACTGGATGGGACTCAAAAGGAAAAAGAAAAAGTATCTTACTTATCACAAAGAAGCAAATTAGAGAAAAATTTACACTAAACCCACTTAATTTTTCCTTCAACATATTTTAAGGTATATTAAAAATACTTACTGCTGTAAGTCCTTCATTATTACAAATGTTGACATCAGCACTGTATTCTAATAATTTACTCATGCATTTCTTCTGCCTGAAAGTAAAAAAAGACAGTAACACTAACAATTACTTTACCGACATATTAACTGCATCAACATTAGTTGATATCAACATATATCTGCAATATTTAAATATACACAACATTAAAAAATACAAAATAATATCCATAACTAAAAGATAAAAAGAAAGGGTATAAACGTTTTCATGCCATCGGGCCAAACTCACGGCTGCTTCTCCCAGAAGGGAGCATAAAATGAGGCCCCCATAACCATGCCACCGGACTCCACACCAGGCTTTTTTCACTCGGGGCGCCCCAGAGCGGGGCAGGTGAGAGCCCTCCCCACCCCAAGGGAGACCCAGCCCCAGCAGGCAACTTCCACTACCCAACAGCTGCCATGCTCCAGGTCTCTCCCCACCTGCTTGGGCCAAGCCTCAAATGAGTGAACGTATTCCAGTGGTCCCTGGACTCCTGAACCCATTTGGGAGATCCTCCTCACCAAAAAACAACAACAACAAAAAATACAAAACAATAAAATTCTAACTCTGAGAATCGTACATAATTATACATATATATATCGGACAGCCCAGCAAACTACCCAGAGTATCCCGCTCACATGGCAGAGCCTGACAAGCTCCCTGTGGTGTATTCAATGTGCCAAAAACAGCAGCAATAACAGGTCTCGTTCCCCTGACCCTGAAAGAGCCTCTAATACGTTGGGAAAGACAGTAAGGAAAGGCTGCTGATATCTCAGGGCTGGGACAGATAGAGACGTTACTGGCACCCGCTTGAGTAAATTGATCAACAAGAGGAAGACAGTGACAGTGATAGAGTGGGACAAACTCATCATTCACAATGCCAAGAAATTCCTAGTGTGACAAGTGGGGGGAGGGGGGACAGAAGAGATCACAGAGGTTAATGAGGTTGTCTTGCACATGGCTGACCTCAGTTCAGTCTCTGCACTGTATATAGTACCCTAAGGACCACCAAGCTTGATCCCTGAGCTCAGAGCGAGGAGTAATCCCTGCACACTGTCAGGTGTGGCCCAAAATACTCCAAAAATGAAATATAGAATAGGGACTAGAGAAAGACTTCAGCGGGTTAAGATACATGTCTTGCATGCAGCCAACCCTAGGTCAATCTCCAGCACCATATGGTCCCTCAAGCATCTGCAGATGCAGCCCTGAAAGTCTCTAAGCCTACCAGCTGGCCCTGGAAATCCTCTGCTAAGCATCAAAGGACCCAATGCTTACCAGAGAACTGAATGCCAGAGAATTGCGGGGAGTGGTCCCTGGACTCCTGAACCCATTTGGGAGATCCTCCTCAGCAAAAAACAACAACAAAAAGAAATACAAAACAATAATATTCTAACTCCGAGAATCGTACATAATTAAGTCCAGGGCAGGGGAGGAGCAAGGAAGGTATGGAGGTGGACAGATGGACAAAAAGCTACCTAGGGACAGTGAATGGAGGGATACTGGCACTCTGATGGTGGGTGTGGTGCAAATCAGTCTATGCCAAGAGCCTAAATATTAACACTATTATAAATCATGATACCTAAAGGGAAAAATGAGCATGTGTTTAATGGAAATGGGAATGGATAGAGTAAAATATATTAATGTAATGTTAATCCATCAGTCTTAATTGCAAAATATTTAAAAGTCAACAGTATCATGAGTTATCAAAACACAACCACAAAATTAACAAAATATAAATCTACATCCCCCCGGATCCACTTTATTTTTTATTTGTGCATTAGTAAAACATTGTATGTAGCACTGTAGCACTGTCCTCCCACTGTTCATCAATTTGCCTGAGCGAGCCCAGTAACGTCTCCATTGTGAGACTTGTTGTTACTGTTTGGCATATCGAATATGTCACGGGTAGCTGGCCAGGCTTTGTCATGAGGGCAAGTATACTCTCAGCAGCTTGCCAGGCTCTCCGAGAGAGGCGGAGGAATTAAACTCGAGTCACCCGGGTCAGCCACGTGCAAGGCAAACGCCCTTACCCTCTGTGCTATCACTCCAGCCCCTTGGTAAAACACACATAAAATAAAAACTATCGCTTCAATCATTAGGGAGTGGTAGGGTATGCCTCTCAAACATGCCCCTCAAACAATGCTCTGGGAGCTTGGGGTTCACTCCTAGCAATCAGCTAACTGAGTCAACCAGTTTCACACTAGGGTCCATCAATGCAGCACTGCTCAGGGCCAGTAATGCTGGGGTCCACATAGCAACACCCAACAGTACTCATAGCCATTTTGTGCCAGGAATCAAACTTAGGGCCCTGAGCAGGAAAGGTTGATGCCCGAGAGATCACCTATGCCCCATCTCAACCATTTAAGTGCACAGTTTGGTGATATTAAAAATATCTGGGGATGGAGCCAGAGTGATAGCACAGAGGGTAGGGCGTTTGCCTTGCACGAGGCCAACCCGGGTTCGATTCCCAGCATCCCATATGGTCCCCCAAGCACCATCAGAAGTAATTCAAGAGTGCAAAGCTAGGAGTAACCCCTGTGCCTCGCCACGTGTCACCTAAAAAGCAAAAAAAGAAAAAAAAATCTGGGGCTGGAACAGTAGAACAAAAGCCCTTTCATTCCCATACCTATTCTACTCTGACCTGATCTGGAACAAGCTAGAAATAGGGAATGGTTCTGCCCACTGTACTATCTCTCCAGCCCCTAAGGTGCTTGCCATACATGCAACCAACCTGGGTTCAATTGTGACACCACATACAATCACCTAAGCCCTGTCAGCAGTAATCCTGAGCACAAAACCAGGACTAATCCCTGAGGCTGAATGTGGCCTTTCTCAAAAACAATTTTATTGTTTTTAGGAAAATAAAATATTATATAAAAGTAAAATTTAACTTTCACAAATATATTTTAGGAAAATATTTTAATAATAAATTATCAAACATGACAGCTACCTGCTGGAGCGATAGCACAGCAGGTAAGGCATTTGCCTTGCACACAGCCAACACGGCCGACCCGAGTTCGATTCCGTCGCCCCTCTCAGAGAGCCTGGCAAGTACCAAGAGTATCTCGCCCGCATGGCAAAGCCTAGCAAGCTACCCGTGACATAGTAAAAGATATGCCAAACACAGTAACAACAAAGTCTCACAGTGGAGACGCTAGTGGGCCCACTCGAGAAAATCAATGAACAATGGGAGGACAGTGACAGTGACAGTGACAGCTACCTAAATACTGAAAATAGTGATACAAGACTGTCTTATCAAGACAAATAATGGAGGAAAACACCAATTCAATAACTTGAAAAGCAGTATTTACAAAATTTTACTATTTCTATAAATGATCAAATTAAGTGATAAAATATTTACCCATTTCTAGCGGCCAAATGAAGGGGTGTACAACCTGAAATATCTTGATAATTAGGGTTGGCTCCTTTCTTTAACAACAGAACCAAGCATTCAACTGATCCACAACTGAAAAATATTAAGAACAGTTCAGATACATTCAATAGTCATAACAACAAATCAAAATAGATAACAAAGTACATTATTTCTGAGGTTCATATTAAACCACAATTTGAAATTAATTTGTGATGCAGTCTCTTCTTTCTAACTATATCATTTTGCCGTGGAAATAATAAAATATGAGATGCTCAAATAATGCAAAATAAAATAAAACACTAGTACACTAACATATAGCACTTTCAACTTTTTTGACTTGCAGAAACCAAATTTATTATGAAAAATAGCACATTCATATAAATTCTGAAAAGAAGCTAGAGATCAACTAATTAATGACACAATGGAATATTATATGAAATAATTATTCTCACACATAAGTAAAAAATATAATACACAGGGCCAAGCATGTGGTCCTATAGTCAAGAACAAGAATGGGTCCTGCATTTGATCCCCAGAACCACAAAAAAATAGTAAGAACAATGAGCACTTAGCATATAAGATCTCACAGTAGCAGGGTAAAAGGTAAATGTACTCTATTAAGAACATCCAGAAATGTGGGGTCAGAGAGAGCAAAGCAGGTAAAGTGCTTGTCACACACACACAGCCAGTTTGGGTTTGATCCCTAGCACAATATATGGTCCCCCAAGTCCCACCAAGAATGATCCCTGGGCCCTGAGCCAGGAGCAAACATTGAACACAGCTGGATATGACCCAAAAGCAAACATAAAAAAGAGCATCCAGATAAGGCAATATGCATGCTTAACCTACTCTGATTTAATCTAAAACAAGCTAGAAAAATAAATGAGAAACTTGAATCCAAATCCCAAAGTTAACAATCTGTCTAGAGAAAAAAACGAAAGCAGAGTATGCTACATCAAAATGAATAAAGAACACCTTTCTGTTTTGGTGGGAAAACACCAAATTCAAAGCTAACTCATCGTTACTCCCAATGAGAACATAACCCAAAATGTCTTTTAGTCTTACTTTGCTGCAATGTGAAGCAAGCTCCTTTTCACACGTCCAAATGCATAATTGACATCAAACTTTGAATTTGATAGTAGTTCAGAAACAGACCTATTACAAAAGAAAAACAAGTTGGCGATGTTTTGTTTTGAGAGTTATTAGAGCTGGAGAGAGAGTACAGGGATTAAAGAATTTTCCTTGCATAGTCAGCCCTGGTCCAATCCCAGCCCCACATATGGCCCCCACTCCAATGCTGCCAGGAGTAAACCCTGAGCACCACTGGGTGTGGCCAAAATCGAAACACAAAAAAGTCCACAGTAACTTAAAATCAACAGTTCTTTAATACTCTTACTAGCCTTAATCAGGGCAATCCTCTACATCCAAACTCTATTTGTGGATGTGAATATAAGTATGCAACATTTAGGTAAATTTGTACTTCTCCAAAATTATAAACTTGTGAAATAGGCACTCACCTGTGTTGATCCGCCATAACCATTGGCATTAATGTATAAACAGCAGTTTCATTATCTAAGTTTGAAAAAAAAAAAAGACAAAGAATTTTATCTTCTATTTTTCCCAAAGGATGTTACTTCAAAGTTTTAATTCAACAGGAAAAAACAAAACGAGGAGAAGCAGAAAAAAGTTAAGGATAATGTAAAAGTATCCAGGGATGGCTCAGTGGCAAAAGCACATGCTTTGAAATGCACATGGCCATCAGTCCAGTCCTGATATTGTGTACATGCACCAAAGGTGCTCCCCAGGGCTCTGCCGTCTAGACTTCCAAAGTCGTGCCCCCAGGTGCAAGCCCCACAATGGAAGTTGCAAGCCAGTAAGTACTACAACAAAAGAAGTGCGGTGTGCAGTGTGCAGGAGTGCAACCAGAAGAGAGCAAATGTGTGACGACCCCAGCAACTCTCAGCAAACACTGCCACCAGAAAGTATGCAACCACTCCAAATAAGAGGATAGCTCCCTTAAGCATGTGTGCTAGCACAGAGACTAAATTATGTGGCCCCTGGCAAGTACACCAAAATGTGTAAGCCACACAACCAAACACATTTGTAAACACCAGTCATCTCAATACAACAAAGGAAAGAGAAGGGAAGAAATTAATTAATGAAATTCTCTCTTAAAAATAAAGAGGGGGCTGGATTGATGTAGTACAGCAGGGAGGGTGTTTGCCTTGCACGGGGTCAACCATAGTTTAATTCCCAGCATCCTATATGGTCACCGAGCACCACTGGAAGTAATTCCTGAGTGCAGAACCAGGAATAACCCCAGAGCATCACCAGGTGTGAAAGAAGAAGGAGGGGAGTGAGGGAGGGAGGAAGGGAGGGAGGGAGGGAGAGATGGAGGAGGAGGAGGAGGAGGAGGAGGAGGAGGAGAAAGAGGAAACAAATTACAAATTTGAAATACTACAAGATCTCTTATCCCAGCTACTGCTTGTACCTCTGCATACATCATCACAAAAGTGATACTTTCTGGAACTGATGATAAAACTGGAGGCTTAATATTTACTTTAATCCTACTAAGTGAAATTTTACTTCTAAAGAGTTGTTAACCATCTTCACATTTTATCATACTTACGTGTAATTTGGAAAAAACTTTAATAAATGGATATTAAAGATAGATCCGCTGGGGCTGTAGAGATAGTACAGCAGGTAGAGCATTTGCCTTGCATGCGACCAACTTGGGATCAATTCCAGGCATCCCTATGGTTCCCTGAGCACCGCCTGGAATAATTCCTGAGCACAGAGCCAGGAGTAATCCCTGAGCACTGCTGGGTGTGGCCCAAAACAAAACTAAAACAAAAGATATATCTGCTAAAAAATACATGACACTTGCATCTTGCAAGAAATTATTTTAAAAGCTTTTATGAAGCAGCTTGTTTGGAGGCTGGAGCAATAGCACAGCGGGTAGGGCGTTTGCCTTGCACGCAGCCAACATGGCCGACCCGAGTTCGATTCCTCCGCCCCTCTCGGAGAGCCCGGCAAGCTACCGAGAGTATTCGATATGCCAAACACAGTAACAACAAAGTCTCCAATGGAGACGTTACTGGGCCCGCTCGAGCAAATCGATGATCAACGGGAGGACCTTATGAAGCAGCCTTAAAATCTTACTCATCTTGGGGGTATGGTGCAGCCAGCAGGTCAATCTGTACCTGTGAGGCGAGTGCATCAGCAGCCTGATGGCGACTTCAGACTTCCAGATACCCCAAAATTGCTGCTGTGCCTTTGGCCAGACCCCAAAAACTTGGGGCAAAGTTTACCAAGAAAGTAAACGGCCAACAGCCGGGTATCCTAGAGGAAAGGGCAGTTCAGATAGAGAAGGGAGCACCAAATAAAGGATGTTTGGAGGATCCTCCCAGGAGGGGAGATGCATGTCGAAAGTAGACTATGGACTGAACATGTTTGCCACTCAATGCCTCTTTTGCAGACCACAACACCCAAAAGGAGAGAGAGAACACAGAGGATTGCCCTGCCACAGAGACAGGGGGGATGGGGGGATGGGGGTGGGAGGGATATTATCCATGGTGGTGGAAAATGGGCACTGGTGGAGGGATGGGTATCTGATCATTGTATAATTGAAACCAAAGCACAAAAAATTGTAAATCTACAACTTAAAAAAAAAAAAAAAAGTAAACGGCCAAAAGTTAGGTATGTGGGAAACACACCCACAAACCACCTCCAGCTCAGCTATATAATTGGAGGCATGGCCTCTCTGGTTCCTGATCAAACTGCTTAATGACAATGATCCCAGAGACTCAGAAACAAATCTCGAAACCCAGCGGCTTTTGGCAGAATTGCATCCAGTCCCTGCAGTAGATTACCGGTGCTGGGCCAACCCAGGTGGGAATAGGTTTCGTGCCTTGGCCTGTTCCCCCTGGAGGCCCAGTGGCCACCATCCTTCAGAGGCCACTGACAGTCAGGTTTGGGCCCCCAGTGACGAGACACGCAGGGCCTCACTGGATGGGGGCAGAGCCGGGCTTGTCCTCCCCACCCCAACGAGAACCCAGGTCATTGCCCATGAACAGCCTCTCTAGCTCCTGATCAAGCTGCTTAACGACCATGATCCCAGAGATTCAGAAACAAATCTCGAAACCCAGTGGCTTTTGGCAGAAATGCATCCGGACCTCACAGTACATTACTGTCACCACACCGAGCCACCCCAAGGAGGGAAGGGTGCTGTCACTCCGCCTGCTCCCCCTTGGCAGCTCGGTGGTCATCATCCTCCAGAGGCCATTGGACAGTCAGGTTTGGGCCCACAGTGACGAGATACACAGGGCCTCACGGGATGGGGTTGAAGCCGGTCCTGTCCCACCACCCCAACGAGACCCCAAGTCATCGCCGATGAACGGCCTTTCTGGCTCCTGATCAAGCTGCTTAACGGCCATGATCCCAGAGACTCAGGAGCAAATCTCGAAACCCAGTGGCTTTTGGCAGAAATCCCTCCAGATTTAAGTGTTAAAATTTCAGAATTTCAAAATCACATGGCCCTACTGCAGCCGCGCGACATCATATGTTATTCATAACCAGCAATAGAACACAAATTGTCTACTGTTGCTTTTTCAGCAGATCTGAATGTTGGGGTAAAATCTCAAATAACAGTGGTGGGTCTGGTGTCAAAATATTGAATGTGATCAAAGTAGAGAGAGAGTAATGTGGAAATCATCTGCCCCACAGGTAGGGGGAGGGTGTGGGATGGGAGTATACTGGGGTTTTTGGTGGTAGAGAATGGGCCCTGGTGAAGGTATGGGTGTTTCATTGTATGACCAAGACTTAGACCCAAAAGCTTTGTAACTGCTCTCACAGTGATTCAATAAATAAAATTACAAAAAATGGGGAAAAAAAAGTAAGGTGGAGTTCATGCACAATTCAATCAGCTAATCAGTGGCTGAATAAATAGCAGTACTCCTACATTTTAAAAAAAATCTTACTCATCTCTTTACACTATTCATATCTTCAATAATTCATTCACAGAAATAAGAAGAAAAGGTTAAAAGTCAGCCACTATGCTGGGCTGGAGAGATAGTTAGTACAAAGGGAAAGGTGGCTCCCTGCATGCAATTGAAGTTTGATCCCCAGAACCACAAATGGTTCGCTGAGTGTCACCAAGAGTGGTCCCTGAGCAAAGAAGCACGAGTGTCCTCTGAGTATGACCAGATGTGCTGCTCCCGCTACCTTGCCATGGAGGGGGGGAAGTATGATGTCAAATTATGCTTATGTGTTTCAGCTAGGAATTGAATTTATATACTAATAATGGTCATTTTTCAATTCAATGCATTTTTAGATGTTTACATATGTTTAAGAAGCAATCCTGACAACTCTCATTTAGCCCTTAGAAAGTCAATGTAGATGCCAAAATTAATTAGTGAAAAGTCTAATGGGAAATAGTACTACTTGCATGGTATCTAAATATCTCCCCAAAATATTACAAAGTAAAAATGATAATTTAACAGCAGGAGAACCCAACAGATACACTTTAATCAACTGACACTGGGTGACATCAGCAGAAAATAGATTGTAATACCATGTAGCCCTATGCACTGTCCTCCGTTGTTCATGGATTTGCTCAAGCGGGCCCAGTAATGTCTCCATTTTAAGACTTGTTGTTACTGTGTTTGGCATACTGAACGGGTAACTTGCCAGGTTCTCCAAGAGGGGCGAAGGAATAGGATACGGCTCGGCTGGGCTGGCTGCGCACAAGGCAAATGCCCTACCCGCTGTGCTATCACTCCAGCCCTAAATATGAATATAATCCACTGAGAAGAGCACATTACTTTTGGAGTATTAGTCAAGAAGACATCATTTTAAACAAATTACTAAAGAGCATAAGGCAAAAGCTAATTAAGGGGAACCTCACCTAAGGACCTGAATAGGGCTGGGGAGAAAGCTCAAAGGGATAGAGCACATGCTTTGCATACTGTAGCCCCAGTTTCACATGGCTCCCCCAAGCATGACCAGGAAGCTTGAGCCCCTTAAACACAGGATGGTCCTGGGGTACCACCATGCTATGCCCCTAAAACAAAAAGAAAACCAAAGCTGAGCAATCTAAATTTTTCTTTGATTTTTAGCGAGTAGGGATACAGGGAGGGGATACCCAGGGATGCCAGGATCAATGCCAGGTATTCTTGTCTGGTAGTCCAGAGAGTTCAACAAGGAAGAAAGAATGTGGTAGTGTTTTTGGCTCTTATACTGCCTGGGACCACCATTGCTCAGGGGCCGCCAGGGCATGTGCCTAGCTCTACACTATCTCCCTGGCCCCCCGAGGGGTCTCCTTACAATACAAATGTCCACTGAGAAGAGCAGTTATTAAAGGGTTATAAAAGTCAAGAAACAATTAAAGAACAGTTCAGGAAATTCTGAGGACACACATGACAACTAAATACAATGAGGTATCCAAATAGGAAAAGGACATTAGTGGGAAAACATGAATCTGAATAAAGTGTCTTAAGAAGCTATTCACGATAAACCCGTATTCCCTTAGTTGTAGTTGCCTAAGTTGTTAACATCCTGGGAAGCCGGATAAAGGTTACATAGGGACTCTTACAATTTACAAAACTTTTCTATAAATCTAAAATTACTGAAAACTTGAAAGATTTTAAAATAGAGAAGCAACTACTATCTTAAAAAGTCTTGAGATAAATCAGGGCCCAAGATATAGTACAGGAGGGAAGGAATGTCCTTTGCAGGCAAAAAAGAGCCAGTTCAATTCCTGGCACCACCATTGGCACTGCCAGGCATCACTGCTGAGAACAGAGCCAGAAGCAGTCCCTGAACACTGCCAGGTACCATTCAGACCCAATCTGTGCACTTGAGTCAATCAAATTTAACCTGTGGATTTTGTCTTCATATTGATTCAAAGAAATCCACCATAAGAGAATACTTTGAGAAGAGAGAACAATTGGATATTTGATAATAAAAAGATCCCACTTTTTAAGAAAAGGAAACTGAACTGGATATTTAGTAATAAATATTTAAATAATAAAAATGTAGTAATATTTATTTATTACTAAACATTGGATTACCAAAAGGATTATTACCAAAAGGAATACAGCACTTAATTCTTAATATGTGCAATGCACTCTAATTTGTTTTGTTCTCTTTTATTTCAGGCACTAAATTGCTCTCTTTACCTACCAGTTGAGTCACCAGGAGCTGAAAACACTAATTTAAACCTCCCTGGCAAGACAGCATTCTCTGCCTCTCAGATAATACACACCCCATCAAGAAGCTAAGCTTGTAGATCATGACAAGTTCAATTAAGCCCCTCAATAATATAGTCATAAACAGAATGTCAAATTTGTGATTTTAAACTTATGAATCAAAATAAAATATTTAAAGTTTAGGGCAGGAGAGATAACACAACAGGTAGGGCACTTGCCTTGCATGCGGCTAACCAAAATTTGAACCTCAGCACCCCATGTGGTTCCCCAGTCCACCAGGAGTAACCCCTAATCACAGAGCCAGTAATAAATCCTGAGCACCTACCACCAGGTGTGGCCCAAAAAACAAAAACAAAAAAAGTGAGCATGAGTGAACATCCTAAATTTGTTGATATTACCATATATAAACTCATTTATAAAATCCAGATGTATTTTTCTAATCATACCTAATCTTACAAAAGTAGGTCACATACATTAGAGTTATGAAGGGACAGAGTCGTGACTCCTCTTCTAGGAGGAGACTATTCAGGAAGTAAAATTGAGAAAGGTTAAAATATGACCTTTTGTCAAGTGTTTCCTCCTCCACCCTCGTGAAGACACCCTGAAGACCAGGTTTAAAATTAAAGCTTTCAGAGTCAGAAGAAGAGTTCAGCTTGTCACTTTTTTAAATATGTTGGCCATTTTATTAATATTTCAGAACTCAATAAGTGAAAATCTTAAGAAACAAGAAGCTTGGATTCATATTATGCAATTTCTCCTCAAACCATCAAATGCGATTCTTTTAAAAAGTGTCTACAGGAGTCTAAGTGATAGTACCACAGGTAAGGCGACAGCATTGTATGCAGCAGACCAAGGTTCAATCCACAGCAACTCATATGGTCCCCTGAGCCCACCACAAGTAATTCCCTCAGTGCAGAGTCAGAAGTGAGTTCTGAATACCACTGGTATGGCCAAAAAAACAAACAAAAAGTATTAATTATCCTAAGCATTCAAATATCAAAAAGGCTAAATTCTAATATTTTATTAAATAAACTATACTGCAAGTGCAGTAGTTTAAGACAAATTGTTGCACATAAGCGAGACATAAATGAGAAATATATAATTACACTTGAGAATCCACATTCCTGAAATAATTTCTTTCCCTTCCCTTCTTTTCCTCTCCCAATATTCCCTCCTTTACCCAGTGTAGGGTGACTAAACAACCTGTATTCCATTACTTAGTGGTAATACTCAGGTTTGCATCATTCCAGAAGACAAAATATGTCCACCCTGTACATAAATCAGTAATCTACAATTTAATCCTTATTCAATAAATTTAATTTTGGAGTTAAAAGCTTTCCAATTTTACCAGTTTGTTCCAGTTAGATGTTTGTTTATTGCTGAATGCCAATAGGCAAAAAAAAAAAAAGTCTAATTCTTTCTTAAATTTAGAAAGCTCTCAGAACTTATGCTCAGCCCTGAACTGTATACAATCTAGAATTTTGTGTTTGTTCGTTTGTTTGTTTGAGGAGGTGGGTCTCACCTGCTGGTACTCAGGACTTACTCCAGGTTCTGCACTCAGGAATCACTCCTGACATGTAAGGGGACCTTATGGAACATTGGGGATCAAACCCAGGTCAGCCCACATGCAAAACAAGCATCCTCCGACCTGTACTATTATCGGGAAGGCCTCCCCTCAATCTGGAATTTTATAATTAGGATGCCATATCCCTGTCCCTCCCTCTCCTTCATCACCTTTCTTGCCCCCTCACACTGCCCCCCCCTACGCACACATACATACACACAATTCTCCTACCCCTCAAGCCAATTTCACAGAATTTAAAAAAAAGATTCATCAGGAGTAAGGGTCAAAGATAAAGGAAGATGAGCAAACTCATAATAACCAAGGAAAATACATTCAAGCTCTGTTTGCCTTCTGGGCCACACCCAGCGGTGCTCAGGGCTTACTACAGCCTCTGCACTCAGGGATGGGATCAGAGGATCCATTGTGGTACCCAGGAATGAAGTTTGGGTCCCGAGATGTATGGCAAGTGGGCCCCAGAAGTTTAATTTTTAATTACTCTTGTTTGCAGAAACTATCACAATGTTGGTGGAACTTTCCAAAGAGTAAGATGTTGAAATTAGTTCTTTAAATGTTGATTAAATTAGATGGGAGAGAGGAGGGCCTCAAGAAATAGCTCAAAGGGCTGGAGTTTCAGCCATGACCACAGGAGACTCCCAACCACCAAGCAGGGTGTGGCTTAAACACCCCGCCCCCTACAAAGTGATCTAAGGAAACTAAGACTTTTTTAAAAACTTAAAAGAAAACTGCTTATAAAATCTATTATGAGGACACACTTAGATTCAGTATCCTATGAAACTTAAGAAACCTGAGAGCCATTAAGCACGTTTTAAGGGGAGAAATTAATCAGTCCAACCCTGCTTAAACCCAGTCATTTGGACAGAGAGTATGAAATGCCCTTTGCACCGTCATCTTATCTTCCAGTATCTGAAATATATGAATTAATAAGGCTGGAACAAAACGGCTTGCTGAGCTCTTTTACAGCCAGTTTTACCTGTCCGGAAGAAAACCTGCAACACTGAACTACATGTAGGGAAATTCCTTATTCCTCTTTTCAGGAGTTCCCCAGTTCCCACCTAAGTCAGATAAATAGATTTTAAAAAGCAAGCAGGTATCACACACACACACACACACACACACACACACACACAGAGTACTTGATGTGTGACATTCGACATCCTTTTTATCTGCTTACTGTCAAAATACAGTGACGCTCGCTACAATATCAGAGTGGTGGAGAGGCGGGAGGGAAGCTCTCTGCAGAGAAAAGTAAATGAAGGGTCGTGGGGGCGGGCATCCGTGCATTACCCCTCGAAATAATAATGCCTGCAAAGTGGCTTGCAACTGTAGTTAATGTTCTGAATCCCGGTCTCCACCTTCCCGCGTTATTATTTCCATCAAGTCTCCTAAGTGGGGAGAAGCTCCGGTTTACCCCGAATCTTGCAGCGAAGCGACCCGCATTGCCCTGGCCCGGGGTCCTGCCAACTCCCACCTGCCTGGGCCGAAGCAGCAGGCTGAGGGGCGTCGGTGGGGGCGGGTCTCAGAAAAGTAAATAGAAATTAAAAAGTGGGTGCCTTCATCGCTTTGGGTTAAGTTTCCCCAACCCCCACCTCACCGCGGACCGAGTCCCGCACCCCCAACCCCTGATCCCACCCCCGCCCGCCCCCCCCCGACCCCAGCCGCCCCCCAGGAGCCCCGGGCCCGGGACCACCCCCGCTCCGCTCACCGTCGGGCAGCTCCACGGTGCGGGCGCGGCGCAGCGAGCGCGTCAGGCGGTTGAGCTGCTCCATGGCTCTCTCCATCCTCGGCGCGACCCCCGCGCCCCCCGCCAGCCCGGCGGCCTCCACGCCCAGCGCGCTACATCCCGCCCCAGGCGCGCGGACGTCCGGGCCAGCGCACGATCTCCGGAGGTGGCTCTGGGCCGCGTCCAGATAACTCAGCTCGGGGCTGTCCGACCGACCCGGGTGCAGCCGCCGCCGCCGCCCCCGCCGCTCGCGCCCTTCCTGCCGCCGCCGCCGCCTCTTCCCTGTCGGCCTCGCACGGCCTTCTGGGAATGGTAGTTCGCTGGCCCAGCACTGGGGCGGCCACGCCCCTTTACTCACGCCACGCCCCCCGCCCCGCCCCGCCCCGCTTCCCTGGCAGCCCGGGGCTGAAGGTTCTGTTTGCCCAGCTTTGTCGAGACAGTATTGACACCACGTTCTTTCTTTTTTTTTTTCCCCCCCTATTTGGGTCACACACTCCCAGCATTGCACAGCGGGTTATTCCTGGCTCATGCACTCAGGAATTACTCCTGACGGTCTCGGGACCCAGTATGGGATACTGGGAATCGAACCCGGCCGCGTGCGAGGCAAACGCCCTACCCGCTGTGCTATCGCTCCAGCCTCCGACGCCACGTTCTTGGACCGTCTTATGGGTGCCTCCGCTGCCTGTTGCTCCCATCTTCCAAAACTAAACAGGGGCAGGGGCAGTGTTGTTTCTGATTTTTTTTTTTAATTTTTTCAATTTTGCCATTCTCCTATGGATGAGGGTGATGTTGCACGATTGTTCTTGTTTTTTTTTTTTTTCTTTTGGAATCATGGATATGTCATTGGTTTACAATACTCTATAGGGAGTGCAGTTTCACAGTTCTGTATATATAGAAGCCTAACTGCACCCCGCATTAAAGTTTGGTGGTAAACATTAATTTGGTTTTGTCTGGGTTTTGTTCATTGGGAGGGGGGGGGGAAGGAAGGTTGTGGCCTTCCTCCTGCTCAGTATTGGGGATTGGGAGCAGCCCAAGGGTCCCCAGATCAACGGAGGCTCCTGTATGAGTTTCAGATCTTGGAGCAATGGCCCTGGTCTCACAGCTGTTCTTAAAATTAATCCACACCGTCATCATCCCAGACTTAGTACATTGGTTTTCCAGATAAATGACCCATTTAATTACGTTATTATCTGACATGTTTAAAAATCAAAGAAAAATTTGTATGCTTTCATTTTATCAACATCTTGCTAGTCCTGAAGTTTTCATCAGCAAATAAAATGTCTTTTAACACAATTTTTAAAAAATTAAGAAGTAATAAAAATCAGTCCAAGATGAGACTGGAGCAATAGCGCAATGGGTAGGGCGTTTGCCTTGCACGCAGCCAACCCGGGTTCAATTCCCAGCATCCCATATGGTCCCCCGAGCATCACCAGCGGTAATTCCTGAGTGCAGAGCCAGGAGTAGCCCCTGAGCATCGCCAGGTGTAACCCAAAAAAGCAAAAAAAAAAAAAAAAAAAAAAAAATCAGTCCAAGAATAATTATTAACAGGCCAGGCATGCTAACCTAGGTCCCATTCCCAGTACCACATGGTGCTTCTGAGCAAGAGCAGCCCTAGAGGCACAGAGCACTGCTGGGTGTGGGCCTGGAAGGCACCAGCACCCCTGAGCTAAGACTGTAGCGCATCCCCAGGCCCTTGCTTTGAACCACTGGACCTTTGGCTGGTTGCCTTGAATCGCCAGTAGGGGTCCCAAGGCCTCCTGAGCATCACTTAGGAGACCCAAAAATAAGAAGAATTATTATCAAGTCCAGCAAATTAAAAAATATATATAATTTCCTCTTGTTACTACTAATTTAACCATAAATATAAATTATTTGCCTCTCCTCTCCATCTTAAGGACTTCAGGAGGGCAAGTACACCAATGCAGCTGGTGCCTTCTTGTTACCATCGCAACTAGCACAAAGTTGAAACTTTGGGGAAGGTGTGAATAATGATATCCTGTTTTAAAAAATTATTTATGTGATACAATGCTGAAGTGTCAAACTGGTAGAACCAAATGGAAAATCCGAAGACTTAGATTTTGCGAGCTATAAAACTACCGGATGCTACCAACAAAGTGCAGAACAAACTAATAGAAAAAAAAAGTTGGAGAGGGGGCATTGTATTTGTTAAAGTTGTACAGAAGTTGAACCAGACTGAATCCAAAATTTGGGACTTAAAACATGAAAGAATTTAATAAAAATGAATGTCAACCTAGATAACTTCACTGAAAATGAAAAATTAAGGGATGAATTTTTCTCTTTTTGGATATATAAACAATGCCAACATAATAATTGAGTAAGACAAAACTTTCTCCCTCTCAAAAAGGCAGATATTCCTACAAAGAAAGCATACATCGGTGTTGCTGGTTTGTTGGTCGGAAGAGAACTTCACTTGTCATTCCAAGATACGCAGAAGCAGATTGTAACTAACCTGGGTGTTCCCTGCCAATGCCATGCTAAATGAATTCCAAACTGAAGCCCAGTTACTTGTGCTAGTGGTGCAAGAGACTCAAAGAAGACCTTCTAACAAGTTGGAGCCCTAAAGCCATCTGGCAACAAGATTAGAGAGGCCAAGCTTCAAAGTAATGACAATGCTGTCTCACTCAGGACCATTCCCAACGCTTCACAACCTGACTTTGGCTGGAAATTCTCCGGCTTTTGCACAATTCATAAGGTCTTGATGCCACTGCTATAAGGCAGTCCCTGTTATTCTCACTACTCTTTGGGCTGTTACTCTACATAAATCACTTCCAATTTTTTGTGGACACCAAGATTAGAGTTGAAATGCAAAGTCAGATTGCTCAGTTGCTTCCATGATGAGTTTTGCTCCTATGCTCGTCATTGTTCACTGTAGGAGCAGAAAATGCTGGAAGAATGGCACAGAATACTGCTTGTATGTTGTCAGTTCTGAGTCCTGAGACATAATAGACTCCTAAATAGTTCTGCTCTGAGGAATATCATGTAGTACAGTTTTTTATTTATCACCTCCTTTTTCAGCAGAACATTCTGCAAGTGTTAGAAGAGTTCTATCTTCTGCACTGTCCAAAATAGTAGCCACTGACTAAATAGGGTTACTGGTTGCTTGAAATATGACTTTACAAGTAGGTCATAAAAGTAATGGAATTGTTTTTAATTAATTATTTTCAATTAAACTTGATCACTTGACTTCCCATTAATCATCGATTTGCTCGAGCGGGTGCCAGTAACATCTCCATTTGTCCCTGTCGCGTGCTAGTGTAGCCCAAAGGCATCTGTTTGTTCTAGGAACACGAAGAGCCTCAAACCAATCGTTCAGGATCTTGATGAAGAAGTCTGACCATCTGGTAGGTGGGTGGCCACGCGGTCTTTTGATGTCCCGTGGAATCCAGTAGGTAATGGCTCTAGTCCGGCGGTCGTCTCCAAATCTCATTACGTGTCCAGCCCATCTGATTTTCAACACCTTGGCAAACGAGACAGCGTCCCTGATTCTTGATCGTCAACAGAGGTCAGAACCCCGGATTCTTTCTCTCATATGAGTGAAGTATAATACTCCAAGCATAGCTCTTTCGATTCCTCTTTGGGAGATCCGAATCGCATTCTCATCCTGTTTGTGTAGGGCCCAGGTCTCTGAGGCGTATGTTAATGCAGGAAGAACAGTGGAATCAAAGAGATGTGCCCGGAGCTGGAGGTTCTTCATCCTCTTAGCTATTTCTTCAACGCTCTTGAAGGTGTTCCAAGCCACTCTCTTCCTCCTGCACAACTCAGGTGCTAGGTCATTCATCATGTTGATTTCTCGACCTAGGTACACATAACTGTTGCATTCGGAGATGGTTGTTCTGTTGAGAGCGAATGGAGCGTCAGGAATGAGGCTGTTTCTCATAAACATTGTCTTCATAAGATTCAACTGTAGTCCGACCTTTCCACACTCACGGTCCAAGTCGGCCATCATTTGCACCGCTTGGCTAATGTTTGATGTTATTAGAACAATGTCATCAGCAAAGCAGAGGTGGTGTAATTGCTGACCATCTATCTTCACTCCCATTCCTTCCCATTCCAGTTGTCACATGATGTTCTCAAGGGTGGCACTGAATTAAACAGTCACAATCATATTGGGACAACAGCTTATCCCATTAAGATGGAAGCTCCCCAAAAAGACAAGAAAAAAGTCTACTGTTTCTTGCTAGATTACTATCCAAAGAGTTTAACATTTTTTCACTTATCTTCTGAAAACCAGCACTAAGAATATCAACTGAAAGTTTTGAAAGGTCACTATCTATCAAAAATTTCATTAACAAACTAAAGGTGTTAGTGTCCTCAGAAAATATGACACAGACCTATGGATTAGGAAGATGTTCTGAAATTGCTTCTCTGAAATTAACACAAAGTTACTATACACTATTCCATCAATACAAGAGGCTTTTTCTCTGGGACCAACATTAACATAAAAGTAGGGTAGGATAAAAAACTGTGCTCCTTTTCGGATAACAAACATGCATAATATGGGGAATAATTAGCCCTGGGGGTAAAAAAATGTAAACTGCAGCATTTTTTTAAATTTTCTAGATATATGAGAGAATATGCCACAAAAATTGGGGGGGGGGGGTATATGTGGGAGTGTGGTACTGCCAGCAGATCAACCTGTATCCTGTACCTTCAGGCTTCCTGATAGCCCAAAATGACCACTGTGCCTCTGGCCAGACTCCAACAACTCCAGGCCAAGATTCCAGAGAAATTAAATACCCAAAAGTTAGGTATGTGGTAGCCATGCCCGCAAACCACCTCTGGCTCCGCTATCAAAGCTCATTTATCATCCTTGCTTCAGAGACCCATAAACCTCAAAAGAAAGCAAAAACTGCAGTTAATCTCAGACGCTCGCAAGGTTGAGCAAAACAGAGCAAATTGGGGGTGGGGGGGCAGATCAGCCTGGTACCCTGGAAGCCACTTGCTCCCACATCCAAAATTGCCGTCATGCCCCCAACCAGGCTCCATGGTCTCAGGATGTATCTCACCTAGATATAATCTTCTTAAAATTCTAGTATGTGGGTTTTGTGACTGAAATCTCCAGGCTTTCTGGGGGTCGGGATGGGATACCCCTCTCCCTGTACTGCTGGAAGCCTCCGAAGTCATGTCCACACTCCAAAGCTGACACCCAGTTTAAAAGTTACTCCAGCCTTACCTTCCTGATAAAAATACTGGATGCCCTGAACAAACACAATCACAATGACCTCTTAGTACCTGTATTGCAAAC